GTGGAGCTGAAACCCCTATGCGGCTGCCACAGCTTCGCCGCCGCCGCTGACGGGCCCACGGTGTGTTGCAACCCCTACCACTTCAGCCGGCTCTGCGGGCCAGGTGAGAGCGCGCACGGGGTCGCCTCGACCTACTCCTTCATCTTCTGATCCTTTTCTGTGGCCACCTCTTTGTGGATGCTCTCGGGATACTCCCTGGTACTGGGGAGCCTGCAGTGGGTTGAGGAAAGCTGAGGAGTAGGTGTCTGCAACTTCAAATGGTAACTTCACTTGTAGCGCCAGCAAATTTAGAAAGGGGCATGTTCGGGTTTTCTATATACAGCTTCTGGGACTTAAAGTAGATTGCAGCTTTGTGAAAAGGGACAGCAAGCCATGGAGAGGCCAAAGGAGTAGGCGACATCTCCCGTTTAGGGATTCACTCCCGTTGGTTGCCAGCTTCTAGCATTTGTTTGTGTATTCCTATACCCTGTCTGTGCTTTTCTGCACCTAGGTTGATATGACTGTAAAACTGTTTGCGGGCAAATGGTGCCTAGCGTCAAAAGTGTTTGCAAAATGTTTTACTTGTCCCTTTCTATGCTCTGAGCCCAGATTCAGCAGGACAGTCTCTCTTGTTTCCAACATCCTTTGGGGGTGGAAGGCCAGGCTCCTTCATCATTATAGCTCCTATAATTCTTGCCTTCAGCTTCCCTCTAGAGTTGAGAGGGTCCTAAGGCATCTGAGTCAGAGGCTTCTCGCTCTTTTGTTACTAGCCCCTTTGTTCTCCTGGGATCTTACGCACACACCCTTGCTTACCTAGGCAGGCTCAGGTGCAGGAGCAGAGGTGAGGACAGATGAAGGCTCCTAATGGGCCCAGAGCTTACACACACACACACACACACACACACACACACACACACACACACAAACTTTTTTTTTTGTACCATGAGAAACACTCATTTTAGATGTAGTTGAACACATTCCAGGCATTGGAGGTTTTGCTGGGGAGAATGGGACAGGTAGTTAGGCTCTGGTCAGTTCTCAGGTCTTCCTGACTCAGTGTGGAAAGAAAACAGGAGTTAAGGAAGCTTGACCTCTCCCCTGTGTACAGATGAGGGTCTACTGGCTTGAAGAGAAAGAAAGTGGCCCTCCTGTTATTGTGATTCCTGACGTGTGTCCCTCGTGGTCTGTCCTTCCAGGCTCAGTGTGGAGACTTTGGGTAGTCCGTGGCTTTCTGTGCCTGGAGGCTAACTGACAGCTTCCCCTGGAGGAAACTGCAGTTTCTCTCTCTGGGGGAAGGACCCTATTTGTGCTTGTATTGCCTCCTCTCAGTTTTTTCCTAGTAGGAGATGGATGGTGGGGCTCGCTATACTCTTCCTTAGGGCCCTACCTAATGGATTTCTTCCCCCTGTGGCTAAATCGCAGTATTAACAAGTTTGCTGAGCATTTACACTGCACCAGGTACTTTGTGTGTGTGTTGCGGGGGGGGGGGGGGGGAGGGAAGAGAGAGAGAGAGAGAGAGAGAGAGAGAGAGAGAGAGAGAGAGAGATTCATGCTGTCAAGAAATCCTCCTGGGAGGTGGGAAGAAGTGGGAAGGAGGTGAGGGGGTGGGGCTAGGTCAGTGGTCTGAGCCATCGGGAGGGCTGTGGGTGTTCCTGTAACTGGATCACCTCTGGGAGTGCCACGCCTTTAACCTGGAGCAGCCTCAGAGGAGGGGGTGGACCTAAGGAGGGCTTGCTCAGGTGGGTGAACCGGATAAGGAGGAGCTTTTTGCAGGAGGCCTTAGGATCGAACCCCACTTAGTTCCTACTCTTTGCCCTAAGAATTGGCCCTGCTTGGCCAGGGGGAAGTTGAGAGGGGTCTGATGAACTATAGAATCGGGACCTAGGCTCTGTACAGTGACCTAGGATGAGTGTGTACGTGTGGAAAGGCTCTAGAGACATTTTCAATTGTACTGAATATGGGAACCTAATTCCCCACTTTCCCCCACGAGGTACTTCCCCCTGGGCGGGGGTGTGGGGGGACATGCAAGATGAATCTGTTCCCTGCCTCTGCTAACCCGAACCTAGGGAGGGCTCTAGTCATCCAGCTGGGGGCACCTTTGAGGACTGTGGTTGTGGGAAAGAAGCAAGAGTTTCCAGTAAGCCCGGTTGACCCTCTTGCCTTCCCTGAGACTGGGGACTGGGGAAGCCCTTTGCTGCGCACTCCGCCCCCGGGGCTGGCCGCCAGCCTGGCTCCTCGAAATGGGCGGGCACATAGCAGGGGTTCAGCCGAGCGCGTCCTGATAAGGAGACCGCTCCTCCCTACTTTCCAGCTCAGGGAAGCGGGTTGGGGCATGGGGCAAGCAGGCAGGCAGACAGACAGACTGTCTGTTCGCGCATACAACTAGAGTAAAGTGCATGGGAACACCCAGCACCAGTCATTCGCGCCTGGCCTCCACCCTCAAGGATTCCCAGTGTGAAGACACGTGGGAAGGATGGGCCCCCCTCCTGTTCTGAGCCTGAGAAGTTGATGGCCCTGGCCTCCTCCCATCTGTAAAGTTCTGGGTTAGCCAGAACTGAGGTGAAGAGGTTCCAGGCAGGTTCTAGGGCCCCTAGGTTTTGTCTTAGAAACTGGTGTCTCGCACAGAGGCCTTGCCCCGAGTACCAGGCTCAGTGCGTGACAGTCCGGGGCCTCTGGGAGCTGTCTTTCCTGGGCTTTTCTGTTTAGGGCTAAAGGCAGCGCTGAAGCTTGGTGGGTGCCTATGTGGACGGAAATGTGGAGAAATACCTTAATCACAGCTCTGACCTGTTTATAGAGTTCCTTTCTCCTGCAAGTATCCATTAACTCTGGAATGAATCTCCTGCTCTTTGCTTCCCTACTTTTTTTTTTCTTTCTGTAATTATATTCAGTAAATTACTATTATCCAAATTGTGCCCGGGAAAGAGAGAGAGAACTTCTAAAGGGCTGGAGGAGGCTGCCTAGGAAAACACAGGGTTCCCAGGCCAGGCCTGGAGGAATTAGAATGGGCCAGAAAGTTGTTCCTTTTATTTGGCCTGGCATTATCCCTTTGAAATGAGATCAATTTCAAGTTGGGCTTCCCGGCCCCACCCCTCCCCCTCGCGGCCCCTCGGCCTGTCTGTCGGCTCCCCGCTCCTCTCTTGGAGGTGAGGAAGCAGTGATAATGCCCAGTTTGCCTCTTGCTGGCGCCAGCCGGCTGCGCTGTTTATCTGGCTGCTGGGGGAATCTGGGCAGTTAGGCTCCTTCGGCCTTAAAGCGCCAGGAGCTCCTTTTCTGTCCTCCCGAACCTGAGACTTGGGGTTGGAGCCTTTAGGTTCTGAGGGAAGAAGAAACAGGCACCCAGAAGGCCCCCTCCACGCCCGCCTGCCTGTCATTTCTTGGGAGGGGAAAAAAGTCGGAGGCCCAGGCAAGCGTGTGGGCTTGTCCCACAGCAGAGCTGCCCTACAAAGATGGGTGGAAAGTAATGTCACATGGAAACTCCTGCCAGGCTCCGAGAGAGGCTGTGAGCTTCCTTCTGGCGCAAGATGAAGGTCTAGATCCCAGAAGGCTAGGTAGCCCCTGAGGGCTGACCAGAGGGGGGCTGGGCTGCGCTGTTGGCTCCTGACTGACAACTCAGTTTTTGGAGGAAGTTAGGGGGAGATTCTTCTAGTCCATGACTTGGTGCTGGAGGTCTGAGGGGCTTGGAGTTTCTGATGTCTTTATCCTTTTCTCTTGATCATGTTCAGTTCTCTCAGAGGATCCTGCAGAGACTGGGAAGGCTCCGTTAGAGTTTACAGTGTGTAAATTTCCAAATCAACATAAATCTTATTTATTTATTTATTTTGGTTTTGCGAGACAGGGTTGCTTTGAGTAACAGCCCTAGCTGTCCTGGAACTCTTTCTGTAGACCATGCTGGCCTCGATGGCACTGAGAGCCGCCTGCCTCTGTCACCCAGGTGCTGGGAAATTAGCATAACTCTGAACAAGGGCGAGAATATCTTCTAGACAGTGGGTGGAGAGCGCTAGGGGTCAACTTGAAGATTCTCTCTGATCCTGTGTCTTACCCAGTGGAGGGCTCACCTAGCCTGCCTGAAAAGTGTCCCTATGGTTCCATTCTCCTAACTTCTGGAGGATGTGTAGGAGGGGAGAGGGAACGACAGGTAAGAATTATTGGTATTGTTCACAGCACATCATTCATAACAGCAAAATGTGGAACCAACCCAAATGTCCATTTGCGGTGAATGGATAAACAAAATATGATGGAGCCACACAATGGAATACCATCCAGCCGTAAAAAAGGGTGAAGTGCTCACACATGCCAAGGCATGGAGAACACTGTTGAGCAAAAGAAACAGACACAAAAGGCCATATAGTGTATGATCTCATGAACATGAAACTTCAAACTAGGCAAATCCATAGAGACAAAGGGTAGATTAGTGGTTGCCTGGTGTTTAGGGTTGGAATATAGGAAGTGACAGCTAATGAGGATAGGTTTTTGTTTGTTTGTTTGTTTTTGGTTTTTTTTTTGTAATGGTGAAAATCTCCTATGGTTAGATCATGGTGATGGTCACGCAACTCTTTGAATTGTACCCCAAATAACTAAACTGTATACTTTAAAAGGATGAATCTTGTGATCTGTGAGTTTGCCTCCCCCCCATTTAAGATTACCTGGTGTTGGTTTCCAACAGCGACAGGGATGATTTATGTAGCTGCCTTCCAGCATGGCCTTGGGCATGTCCTTTACTGACTGGATATGAGGTGCCTCATCAATAAAAAAGGAGCTGAGAGCTTTTGTTGGTGGTGTAGGCCTGTAAGTCCAATTCCAGTGCACAGGAGGCAGAGGCAGGAGGATGCGTGATGTGTTTGAGGCTAGATTGAGCTATGCATTGAGACCTTGTTTCAGAGCCAAAATAAAAAAAATAAATTGAAAAAAAAGGGGGGGGGTTGAGTTTGGCCAAGCCTTCCACTTCCTTTGACCTTTGACATGCTAGAGCACTGTATTCTGGGCTGGTTACTGTAAGTTTTATACTTTTTACTTTCTAGAAGGATCTGTGGTTAGACTAAGTCCCCTCCAGAAGCTTAGCTGTCCTTCTCTGGCTGCATGTCTGCCATCCTGACATCTGTTTTCTTCTGTCTCACTGACGATGCTAGGAACCTCTACCCAGGTGTGACTGAATAGTGGGTGCTTCAGATGGGGAAACAGGATGAACATTTCAGAGTCCCTGGAAGAGACCCTGGGGATGGCCAGGGATATGCCTGCAGTGTGTTCAGGAGGTAGAGACAAGAGGATTAGTCGTTCAGGGTCATTCTTGGTTATACACTGAATTCAGGGCTATACGAGATACTGTTTAAAATAACTGAGAAAGAGATGTTGCATGGGAAAGGTTGGGATTGGTAATAGTTGCTTGTCACACTCTGGCTACTGCCTCTGTTGCTGGAGACGGGTGTGAGGGCAGATGTCTAGTCATGCCCTGGGTTTCAGGGGTTGTAACAGGGTGGGCACCAATTCCCCAGGGAGTCACTTCCACTCCCCAGACTCAGTCCCCTCTCCCACGGAGCTCTAGGCCTTTCCATGCTGGGCTGCTGGACCTCTCTCAGGTCTGGCCTCTGGGGCTGAGGAGGAATGCGAGGAGCTCTTACTCAGAGTGTGTAGTCTCCCTCCCTGGGTCCTGTTTGAGGTCACGGTAGGTCCCTTTGGCTCTCAGATCCTTTCTCCCACTCTTTTGTCTTTGCCTGGAAACATTGAGCAAGTGAGCACTGAGTGCAGAGGGGCCAAAGTCAGGCCTGAGCACAAATCCCAACTCTGCCATGATTGTCTTTGGTGGCAGGAGCCAGTCAGTTTGCCCATCTGCAAAACGGGAATGTGGATACCATCTTCTGTGTTTATTTTTTATCCCTGAGAAAAGATTAAATTGAAACAGGTGTCTGATGAGCATGATTAACCATCATGTTCCTGAGGTCTGTAAGAATTAGAGATGGGGCTGGAGAGACAGCCCATCAGTTAAGAGCGCTGACTGCTCTTCCCGAGGACCAGATTCAATTCCCAGCACCACACAGCAGCTCACGAGTGTCTGTGACTCCAGTTCCCAGGGGATCTGACGGCCTCCCACAGACATGCATGCAGGCAAAACACCAAGGTACTTGAAATAAATAAGTAAATCTTTGAAAAGAAAAAGCATTAGAAGCAATACAGAAATTTCGAAGTATCTGGCCCAGAGTGAATGTTCAGGTCTCCAGTGTTTTTGCCCCCTGGCCTCTCCTGGCCTCCGTCCACAGAGAGTCCCTGCTCTAGATTCAGCCTTGACTTTGGGGAAGCCACTTCTGGCTGCAGAGGACAGGTTGGTAGGAGAGGGGAGCCTCCTTTGGGTGTATGGAACGCACATAGCTAATGCTCCTGAAACTAATGGTGCCTTATTATAATTGCGAAAACACTCATTACCCCTGTGTCATTCCTGATACCCACCTAATAATAGTTATTACCCCTTTATTACTGTGGAGTTTGTTTTAGCTTGCGATCAGATGGGGTTCAGTTTCATTTACAGAAAATGGAGGGTCATTTCATTCACCCAGATTGTTACTTAGTTTAGCAAATTGTTACTTCCCCGTAAAGCAGAGCCTAAGAAATTCCTCTGAAGGCAAAGTATATGTTTTGAAGGAGGAGTATTTTAGGCAAATGAAAGGCAGCCCAAAGGAAAACACCGTAGACAATCAGGAATCAGGAGTCTGAGCTGCAAGACTGGGACCCACCCCTGGCCTTGACAAAACGAGAGGCTGAGGCCAGGGTCTGGAAGGAACGGTCTTAGAATGGGAATGGATCCAGGGTGCCAGTAACCCTACTGTCCTCTCCACACCCAGGAATGGTGGTTCTCATGTGGATGAAATACTTTTTAAAGTTTATTGTTGTTATCATGTATGCAGTGGGGGCGCATCCATGGAAGGAAACACATGAGAAGATAAGAGGGCAACTTGAGGTCATCTGTCCTCCCCTTCTACCATGTGGGTTCTGGGGATCAAACTCAGATCCTTAGTCTTGGCAGCAGCTTCTTTCCACGCTAAGTCTATCTAACCAGCGCTCTTCCCTGCCCCCTTCTTGCTCCCCAACCATGTTTCCATGTGTGGGCCTTCTGAACTCTGAGCTGGCTTGTCGAGCTTAACAAATAAAAATTTAGGGTTGCCCATTCAGTTTTCCTTTCAAACAAGCAACACAAAATTTCAAAGTGAGTATATCCCAGCTATTCTGAGGCCTGTGCTTAGACCAAGAGACTGTACTCGGTGTTTAGCCCAAATGCAAACAGAGCTGAGCCTCCTGTATATGATCTGGCAGCCCAGGCGCTGACTACTGCCCTGGTGTTTTCCTAGTTGTAACGATAATAAAGATGCTGTTTATGGGATGTGACCAAAAGCCGTGCTAAGCATTTCACATATGCTATCTTTTGCCCTTCTGGCAAAACCAAGAGGTCTATGATTATCACCCCTGTTTTATAGTTGAGGAAATCGTCTTAGAGAGGTGAGGGAACTCTCTGGCGCTCAGAAAACTTAGGTGGCGCAAGTAGGGGCAGAGCCCGAGGGAGCGGCAGAGATGGTGAAGGCATGGAAAACTTCCTGGGGTCAGAGGTTATTATTTGAGGAAGCTAATAGTTAAAAGCACGTGGAACACCAGGTGTGACATGCTGTATCCTGTCTTCCAGAATCACCGCCACCCCCCTATTCTCGGCTGTCTCCTCGTGACCAGTACAAGCCACTGGGTAAGTGTGCCCTCCCCTGGAGGGGGTGGGCTGAATTGGGTGCTTTCAAACAGGGCGAAGTTTTACAAACACTCCCACGGTTGGGATGCTGTAGAGAGAGAGAGACTATTTACATCTTCAAATTCCAGGCTCCTCGTTAACCTCTATATGACCCTTAAACATGGGCCTGTGGGAGATGAATGGGTTCTGACTTAAGCTGCTCTTTGGAGGTGGGTTGGGATTTCTGGGTCTCTTTTCCTCCCTTCCTCTCCCATCCTTGGGTTATCGTCCACCAGTGTGTTAACTGGGAGTGTGACAGGCAGACCGGGCATGGTGTCTTTGTTGAGTTGTATCTGTCCTTGTCCCCCACCTGGAAGGTAGACAGGTGCCCTAGCTGTCTCTGAGGGAACTTAGTGGAGACGGTGTGTCATTTCAGATAAGTCCCCTGCAATGGCAAGACGTGTTTTCTCTACGACTTAAGTGTCAGCTCATGATCTGGGTGCACTCATACAGTTTTAAAAGCAGACGAGGGGCTGGAGAGATGGTTCATGGGCTGAGAGCGCTTGCTGCTCTTGCAGAGGATGTGGGTTCAGTTCCCAGCACCTACATTACACTAGGTGGTTCCCAACTGCCTGTAACTCCAGGGAATCCAATGCCCTCTTCTGGTCTTCAAGGGCACTTGCTTGCCCTTGGATGTGTGTGTGTGTGTGCGCGTGCACATGCACACGCACGCACGCATGCACATGTACACACACACACACACACACTAAATGAGTATTAAAAACAGAGATGCCCTAGGTCCTGGGCTCTCCTCAGTGGATTTAGAGCAGTGCTGTAATCTGTGGTGTTCCAGTAGCAGGTGAACCAGCCTTAAGAGTTCCAACACAGCAACTTTGTGACCAGCAGTTACTGTGAGGCCCAGGCCTCCAGAGTCCGTTGGCATGGTCTGGGTGCTAGAACATTCCCAGTTGACCACAAAGACTAAGTTTATGGTTGAAGCTTCCTCTCTGGAGTACATGAACTCTGACTTGAAAGGTTACCTTCCAGGGACTCGGGCTCACCCCAGGTTCCTTTCAGCTCTTCATCCCCAGTGAGGTCAGAAAGATATCCACTCCAGAGTTGCTTGAGGAGTTTGATCCATGGCTAATGGAGCAAGGGCTGCTCCTCAAGGGTGTTGGAGGCGGTGGCTGAGTAGCGATGATTGTGTGCCTTGTGCACAGGGAGCTTTGTTTACTTCTTTGGGAACTAGAGGGGTCATGGTCTTGTGGTACATGAGGAGGAGTCAGCTGAGTGAGGAGAGGGAGACTCCTAGCTAAGGAGCTGCAGGGCTGAGGCACCAACCCAGGGCAGGCACAGCTCAGGCTATGGCTTCCCCATCTTCCTGCCATAGATAGGCCGGCCTCAGCATCTCCTGAGTCAAGGCAGTCATACCTGTAGAAGATGCCTCTCTCCATTAGCGAAAGAAAAAGTCAAAAGTTCATAACCAGTGACAGGATCATTGCTAGAGGAACTGTCAGTCAGCTCGGGGGCGGGGTGGGGGGAACAGACAAGCCCTGGGGAGTGACTATTTAGAAGCTAGCAGGTATCCCATTACTTCACAGGTGGGACACCTGAGTCCCAGAAAGCAAACAGGACCCTTGCTGGGGCTCACATAGCTCCTTCTTAGCATAAGAAAGAGATAAGAATGGCCTTTACTAATTTGGATTGAAACAGGATCTCCTTATACAGTCTAGACTGCCTTTGCTTCAAACTCTCCATCCTCCTGCCTCAGCCTCCTGCTCGCTGGAATTACAGATGTGCACCACTGTGGCTGGCTCTGTTCTTATTGTTTTAAATGGTGTGGAAAAAAGAAAGAGAGTTGCAAGAACCTTGCCCTGAACAGGGAGGGTGCACAGAATGTAGGCGGTCTGAAGGCAAACAGCCGGCACCCAGTCATGCTCCCCCACGTTGCCCATGGCTGCTCCCCTTTTTGCTACTGTGCAGAGCTGAGCAAGTGGAGCACGTTGTGAGGCTCCCATGACTGAAGATGGTTGCTCTTCTAGAAAAAGATAGTGACCTCTGATGCTGCCGGTTGCTGCTGGAGGCGCATCGTGAACTGGGACTCCCATTCATCCAGGATTCCTCCATGGCTTGAGGTGGTGTTAGAGGCTGGGAGAGATCTAGGAGAGATCTTTCTATAGCAGCCACCGCAGGAAGACTGCCCTTGAGTGCTTCCCTGGAAAGACTGGGTCTGAGGGCATGGCAAGGGTGTGCCAGGTGCTGAGTGGCTTCACACGGTAGGAGTCACTCGCCGCCTTTCCTACCCTTTCTGACAATTCAGGATGCTACCTATATAGATGTAGCAGTTTGGTTCCCGGCACCCACGTCAGGTAGCTCAGAATTGTTGGTGATTCCAACTCCAGTGTACACATACCTACACGGAGACACACACCTACGCATACAAAGAATGTAAATTTAAAAAAAAAAGTATTAGGACCCAGCCCTTGACCTGGTGCTGCTCCTTCAGATGGAAGGTGGTACCGAGGCTCCAGGCATTCTGCACGGGGACAGTGGGTGTTAAAGGAGAACTCAAGATGGGGAAGATGGCTCAGTCAGTAAAGTTCTGGGACATGAGTTCATTCCCTAGATATGGAGGTATGCCTGTCCTACCCCTGAAGAGGCCCAGACAGGAGTTCTCCCTGGGACTTGCTGACCAGCCAGCCTAACCTGCTTCGTGACCTAGGCAAGAGAGAGACTCTGCTCGTAAAGCAAAGTGAGGAATGGCACCCAGAGCTGACTTCTGGTGAATACCACACACATTTACAATGTGCACCTATGTATACACACACACACAAACATGCAAACAGACTTGCAAAATTTTAAATCTTTATCATTGAAGAGTTTTTTTTTTAATATTCTTGTGTCTCTATTTTCAGTACTGTTACCAGCAGATAATATTTTTTGTTGCCTTGAGAAAGAGTACAATATCTTAAAAAGTTGGGGCTGGAGAGATGGCCCAATAGTTAAGAGCACTGGCTGCTCTTCTAGAGGGACCTCGGTTCAGTTCCCAGCACCCACATGGCAGCTTACAGCTGTCTGTAGCTCCTGTTCCAGAGGATCGGATGCCCTCACACAGACATGCATGCAGGAAAAACACCAATGCACATTTAAAACTATTTTAAAAGATGATTATTTCCTTTACCTTGAATTTTACACACACACACACACACACACACACACACACACACACACACACAACTAGTTAATTTCTGTGGCTCTCTGATCACGAGACCAGTAACCAAAATAAAACTCAGCATCTGGCAAGTGGGAAATGAAAAAAAAAAAAAGCCAAATTAGTTAATGTTTCATCTTTCCTGCTCTTCAAGCTATGTGGTAAAAGGAAAAAAAAATTCCTGCAGGCTGAGATGGAATTCTAGCTAGCTGGAGCCTAAGCTGAGGGACTTGTACCAGGAAACCTCCGCTCCTGGTGACTGCCGGGCCGGCTGGGGCTAGCCGAGCCGGATCTGGCTTGTGTTGGGTGACCAGAAGATGAAAAGGTTTTAGGCCTTCTGGTCCATGCCTTCTCAGCTCCTGGCCAGGCCTGTCCTTTACTAGGGACAACCCTAAACTGCTCGTTGCAGAGGCCCAGACCTAGGGGGAGAAAACCTCCCCAGTCTTCCCGTCCCCCAGAGCATCAGTTTATGAAACTGGTGGGGTGGAAAACGTTCCCTTCCGTCTCAGCGCACCGCAGGCAGGGGATGGCCGATGATGCATGCCCTATGAAGTGCCTAATTAAGCCTGCTTTAAAACACAAGCATGAATGCAAAACCCGGCCCAAGCTCCACAGGCAGTTTTGATGGTGGGGAGTGGGAGAGGTCAGAGAAAGCAAAAGTTAACCTGAGAACAAACACTTGGGTCTTAATTAGAGGCATGTGGGGACAGAGGTGGCTGGTGATTTGTTACGTTCCTCCAGCTCCAGGAGGAAGAGAGGAAGAGAAGAAGGAAGGAAGCAAGAACGAACAACTTCAAGAATTTTAATGGTTGTGATTAAGTTTAGCAGCTATGAATTGTTCAGGGACTTAATTTAACCTTACCCAAACAGGCTTCAAGTTGGTGCTTGCTCAGTCCCCTGATTGTGTACTATTTCTGTGGTCAGGGCCACCGAGACTCTTCCAGGTGTCAGGGTCACAGTGGTCTGCGTTTTTCCAGAAGAGTTCCGGGGCTGGATGGTTGACCCGGTCCTGGGGAGATCCTGAGACTGGGTCGTCACAGAGTGACATCAGTAGCTTGTGAGGGGGCCGTGGGTGTAGCTCAGTTGGTAGAGTGCTTGCCTAACATGCATGAAGCCCTGCATTGCATAAACACAGCTTGGTGGTACATGCCTGTAACCTCAGCATTTAGCAGGCAAGAGCAAGAGGATCAGGAGTTCAAGGTTCCTTGGGCTGCATACTGAAATAGAGGTTAGCCTGGGCTACAGGAATAAATACATACTGAATAAGTGGTCGCCAGGGACATCTGACATTGTGCACAGGAACAGGTATCTTTCAGCCAACTGAGTTCTCTTTCTTTTCCCCCTCGAACAGATCTGTCCGATTCCACATTGTCTTACACTGAAACCGAGGCCACCAACTCCCTCATCACTGCTCCGGGCGAATTCTCAGGTTGGCATATTTTCTTCTCACTTATTGCTGTGGCCAGTACCAATGGGGATAGATGTGGGTGCATTCATGGAAGGAGTTTTGGAAAGATTTTGATGTCTTGTGATTTTTGTGCTCTGATCCGCCCACCCTGTGAATGGGAAGATGGCCAGTATGTATGTGTATATGTGTGTATGTGTGTGTGTGTGGTGTTGTTGGAGATAAGAACTGGGTATGGCGTTGCATGCCTGTCAGCCCAGTACTCAGGAGGCTGAGGCAAGAGTTCAAGACCAACTTGTGCTACAAAGCTGTGTGGTTTATGTGGTTAGAAACCTGAAGATAACTTGCTGGGTTTTAACTGGTGTCTCCACCATGTTTCTCTTATTCCCGTGACTTAGAAAGGCCTCTCCATTATTGTAGTCAGGGACATATTCCTCAAGGTGGATGGGTCACACATAAGTTGTCTTTCCTCTGTTCTCATGGGGAGGGCCCATGGGTAAGCAAAGGGGATAGCTTGGGCAGACTGGCAGGGGAGAAGTTTGCTAAAAACTGGTGGTGTCTATGCCCCGTACTTGGCAGTGGATGGCAGGAAGCAGGGGAAGGAACCCCAGCTTTGGTGCTGTCCCCTAATTGTCTGAAATTCCCAGCTGCTGGCCCTAAAACCCCTTACATTCTTGTGAAAGGGAGGGTAGGGGGAACAGGGGCAGGAGGGCCAGGGACTTGGTTGGTGAGGTCTGAGTGACCTTCTGGAAGCATGGCAGGTAGGGTGTGCTGTGCGGCAGCTGGGTTTGTGGCCTGGGGGCAGGGGTGGCTTGCTGAGCCTCTGCGTCTTTTCCGGACTCCACACCCAAGCTGTAAAAGCAAGGTGGTGGGATGAGTGGTCACTGTGAGCCAGGCCCCACCCCAGCACCTTCCACGGTCTCAGGACAGCTGAGCTGTAGAAACTCACAGGTACAGTGATTCCTTGTGTCCCTCAGGGCCACAGGAACCTTGCTACTCCAGCCTGAGCTCCTTGCTACAGCTGTGCCATCCCTTCCCCTCATCTGGGACAGTTCAGTGTAGCCCAATGAATATATTCCCAGAGTTCCCCTCTGTCACTTGTCTAAAGTGACACAGTTCTGGCTGCTCCCAGACACCTGTCCATTTCCCTAGCCTTGCGCCCTTCTTTGTCCATTCCCTGGTCTCCCCACAGTCCTGGGAGGAAACCCCAAAAGTGTGCCTGTTTTAAGAGATGGAGACAGAGCCAGGCGGTGGTGGCGTACCCTTTAATCCAAGCACTTGGGAGGCAGAGGCAGGCGGGTCTGAGTGAGTTCAAGACCAGCCTGGTCTACCAAGTGAGTTCCAGGACAGCCAGGATTGTTACACAGAGAAACCCTGTCTCTAAAAACAAAACAAACAAACAAACAAACAAAAGAGGTGGAGACAGAAAGCAAGACCCTACAATGAGCTCATGGCTGCCGTGGTGCAGGTATCCAGATCTCCTGTTTCCAGCTCCTGTCTGCTCTCTGGCCCCTGATCCTCTAATCAGGCCACTTTTACTCTCTCCTCTTTTTATTCGGTATATTATCCCATCCTCAAAGATCCAGCCCAGGTAGTTGGATGTGGTGGCACACGTCTTTAAGGCAAGCACTCTGGAGACAGGAGCAGGTAGATGTCTGTGATATAGACCAACCTTGTCTGTAGTTCCTGCCAGCTGGGGATACATAGTGAGATCTGTCACAAACAACAGCGACCACCCCCACATACCCCGTGACAAAAACCATGTTAGAGATCCAGCCAGCTAGGTGGCACACAGTTAGGCCACAGCATTCTTTCTCATCTGTCACATGTGACTCTGGAACAAGGGGCTCTGATTTTTTTTTTTTTTTTTGCATTTATGATTCTGGGTTCCTGCCAGTTCTCGTGGCTATTGTTAGCTGGGTTGCAGGACAGATGGGCACTTTGACATCCTCTTTCCTTGTTAATAGTGGAGACTTGCCTGTGGCTTTCACAGTGTGTTTGCACCAGAGGAGGCCTGGTGCCTGATTCCTGCTTGAAGGAGTGAACCTCAGCACACCTCCGGAGGCTTTCCCTCAATCTGGCCCCTGCAGAGAGCACCCCACTGCCCCAGCACGTGGGGACTGTAGGCTGAACTGTGTTGAGGTGGTCTGTGCTGGGGATTTCTGCCCAGATAAATCAGAGCTGAGTCTGTAATACTGGGCAATGAAGAGACCACTGCTGGTCTTGACTGTCATGAAGAAAACGTCTAATGGTTGGCATTCTGAGAGTCTAAAAGATGAGGGAAGAAAGTTTGGGGTTTCCCATGTGGGAGGATGGAATGAGGTGGTAATGGGCTTTGGACTGGGCTCCTGATGGCCCGAGTAAGCAAGTGGAACATTTTTTTTGGGTCCTCCTGGGCCTTGGGCTTTGTTGGTATTGGCTGTCACTGGAGGACAGACTGGGGGAGGGGGTCCTTTGCAGGTGGGGAAAGGCCCAGGTGGTAGCAGGCCTTTGTGGAGAGTAGAGTCATGGCTACTTCATCCTGTGGGGATAGAGTGATGTCACACAGGAGGGCATCGAGGAGTCCAAAGGTCAGGGGCGGAGTGGGCACAGGGTGTGGGTCACACTGGGGCATTTGATGGTCAGGGACCACTGGGTGGCTGCAGTGCTGATAGTAATGTTGGTGTCCTTTGACCTCACACTCAGATCAGTATCGGCTGTTCTTTCTCTCCTTGACTCTGTCCTGCCATCCAGTGAGACAGCTGGGATCCTTCCAAGTGTACCCACAAGGTCCCTTCTTGTACAGCACCCCAAAGCCCAGTCAGACTGTCTTCTCTGCACGGCTTCCTTTCACTGCTGAGTGGACAGTCCCAGTTTGCAGGATGCACACGGGGAGGTTTGGGCAGAATAACTTGACAGAGACTTGGCCGGCTTCAGTGCCAGAGGTGGGGTGAGGTGAGGGCTCACTGACATGGGACTTGATGCGACCGTGCAGCCACTGAGCAAGCCCACCAACCGACTGTGCCATCCTTCCCTTCTCCTATGTCTTGAGGGCTTGGTGCCCTTGACGACCTGGTCCCTTTCACAGAACAGACGTCTTGCACACAGAGACAGTCACAGCCTGGCAGAACTTCCTGACTCTCTGCAGCTCCTGTTCAGAGTCTCTGTTCTTTCCTGTCCTGTGACTGAGGCCACACTTGGAGATGGCAGGATTTAGGGGTTAGTCACAGGCCCAGGCAGGCAAGGACACGTGAGGAACTAACTGCAGGAAAGGCCTCTTTCTTGGGGATGCTTGAAACTCTGGTGCTATGGTTTCCTTGCTTCGTTTGGCTCTGAGGTACCGTCCCCTGTTTATCCAGGGTCCCCTTAGGTATCCAGTCTTAGCATGGGCTGTCAGTTGGGCTCTGTGGTCTACACAGGGACACTGAAGGTCAAAGGGCACAGGTGATTGCACCCACATCGCTCAGGTGGAAGAGGTAGATGTGGGACTTCAGCCAGATTCCGGAGACCCTCGCACCCAGTGTCTTCAGTGGGATTTGAGTCAAATATCCAGCCTCAGGGTCTCTTCGGGGAGTGCTCTTGGAGCTCTGGTGCTGTGGGTGCCTTGATTCCCTGCGTCTGGAGTGCTGTCCCCTGGCTACCCAAAGTCCCACTGGGCGTTTTTCTTACAGCACTAACATTCCTCTCCTGTTCCCTCGACTTCAGCTCATTTGAGGATGAGGTATGTTGAGATAGAGGAACTCACTCCAAGGTGTGAGTGGCTGTGGGTTACAGCTTCTGGAAGGCAGACTATGTTCTCGTTCAGAGAACTGCAAAACAAGAGGGCAGAGAGAACTGGTGTTTTGAGGAGAGCTGGTGGGGCAGGCGAAATTCGCCCAGCATCCCCTACTCCAGCCTAGAAGGACAGTTCAGTGCTCCTGACATGGGAACTTGGCGCCCTGGATGAGGGGAAAGAGGAAGGAGTCTCTGCCAGTCCAGGCTGTGTGCTGGCTGTCCTGTGAACTCGACTCATTTCATGAGAACTCAAGGTGGTGTGCCTCTGAGCACTTAGGCCTGCCTAATCCGGTGCCAGGGCATCTACCTGGTATTTTGCACCTCACCATCACCCTTTGGTGAATAATCAAGAGCCTATCAGGTAATTGGCCAGGTGTTTATTTAGCCTGGCATTATCTGTATGCCATATAAGCTGCTGGTAACGAGGACTAGGCAGTCGCTTCCCATTGGCCTTGACTGTGTGTGCTGGCTTCTCAGTCTGAGCTCTGTCAGTGAGGGCATACTCCTCCTTAGGAGAAGGCAGTACCACTGAGGTAGTGGGGCTGAGCTAGATCTGGTATCTACCCAGTCAGAAGCTCCTTAGGGACCCAGGCCCTGTTCATGCTTACATTCTCCATGCTAGCCGTTTGGCTTAGAGAAATTAAGAGACCGGCTGTGAACCACACAGCAAGTGGTAGCTGGAGCTAAGTCAAAAAGTAGGTGGACCTGTGTTGTTTATCCACCTGCTCCCTGGTAGGGATGGTACCTCTCCTATGACTGTTGCCTCTCGGCTGAGTGTTCATTCTTTGCTTACATCTTCAGGCACAGATGACAATGTCACTGTCTCTCCTTGATTGCTGGGATCACACAGGCAATCTAGCATAGGCTCTGTGTCTCTGTGTCCCTAAGGGCTCCATCAGCGTCAACCAGCACACATCTAGCCTTGCAGCAACGGTGAATGACAGGCACGGGCTTCGCAACAGTTAGCTCTGGGTTCAAGTCCCTGCTCTGCCTCCTGATTAGTTGAAAGGGGGTGGTTGCTTAGCTACCCTGCCCCTCAGTTTTCCCACTTGTGGAATGGGGACAATAATAACCTTTAAAGAAGGTAACTGAGCCTCCGGTCAGTTACCTGTGTAGTCCTGAGTGAGGTGTGTGGCTATTAAGAAGTATCTGGCCAGGAGATGAGACCTGTATCAGTTCTGCCCTCCAGGTGCCCATATCAGGTGCTGTGGCAGGAGGCAGTTGGGAACTTGTTGAGAGACAGTCAGAAGTCTCAGAAGAGGGGGTACCCA